CAAGAGCATGCGCGAGGCTACCAACGCTTCGGTGGGCCTTGCCAACACTTGCCACAATCTTGCATGAGGTTGCAAATGCCTGTCACATGATTGCCTTGCATTGGTAGAGCCTGTTCTTACCTTGCAAACACTTGCCACGAGCTTGCCCTAGGTTGCCAACACTTGGAAAGAGCATGCACGAGGCTACCAATGCTTCCGTAGGCCTAGCCAATACTTGCCACAATCTTGCTTGAGGTTGGAAATGACACGCTTGCCTTCCATTGCCAAAGCCTATTCTTACCTGGCCAACACTTGCCACGAGCCCGCCCAAGATTGCCAACACTTGGGAAGAGCATGTACGAGGCTGCCAATGCTTCTGTGGGCCTTGACAACACTTGCCACAATCTTGCGTGAGGTTGGAAACGCCTGTCACACTGTTGCCTTGCGTTGCCAGAGCTTGTTCTTACCTTGCCAACACTTGCCACGAGCCCGCCCTAAGTTGCCAACACTTGGCATGAGCATGCACGAGGCTGCCAACGCTTCCGTGGGCCTTGCCAAAATTTGCCAATATCTTACGTGAAGTTGGAAACACCTATGACACGCTTGCCTTGCATTGCCAGAGCCTGTTCTTACCTTGCCAACACTTGCCATGAGCCCGGCCTAGGTTGCCAACACTTGGGAAGAGCATGCACGATGTTGCCAACGCTTTCGTATGCCTTGACAACACTCACCACAATGTTGCGTGAGGTTGAAAATGGTTGTCACATGCCTGCCTTGCGTTGCCAGAGCCTGTTCTTACCTTGCCAACACTTGCCATAATCTTGTGCCAGGTTGGAAATGCCTGTCACACGCTTCCCCTGCGTTGTCAGAGCCTGTTCTTACCTTGCCAACACTTGCCACAAGCCCGCCCTAGGTTGCCAATACTTGGGAAGAGCATGCACGATGTTGCCAACGCTTTTGTATGCCTTGACAACACTCACCACAATGTTATGTGAGGTTGAAAATGGCTGTCACATGCTTGCCTTGCGTTGCCAAAGCCTGTTCTTACCTTGCCAACACTTGCCACAATCTTGCGCCAGGTTGGAAATGCCTGTCACACGCTTCCCCTACGTTGCCAGAGCCTGTTCTTACCTTGCCAACACTTGCCACAAGCCCGCCCTAGGTTGCCAACACTTGGGAAGAGCATGCATGATGTTGCCAACGCTTTCATATGCCTTGACAACACTCAACACAATGTTGCGTGAGGTTGAAAATGGCTGTCACACGCTTGCCTTGCGTTGCCAAAGCCTGTTCTTACCTTGCCAATACTTGCCACAATATTGTGCCAGGTTGGAAATGCCTGTCACACGCTTCCCCTGCGTTACCAGAGCCTGTTCTTACCTTGCCAACACTTGCCACGAGCCTACCCTAGGTTGCCAACACTTGGGAAGACCATGCATGATGGTTCCAACGCTTTTGTGGGCCTTGACAACACTTGCCACAATCTTGTGTAAGGTTGGAAATGCCTGTCACACACTTGCCTTGCGTTGCCAGAGCCTGTTCTTACCTTGCCAACACTTGCTACGAGCCTGCCCTAGGTGGCCATCACTTGGGAAGATCATGCATGATGTTGCCAACACTATCGTGGGCCTTGACAACACTTGCCACAGCCTTGTGTGAGGTTGGAAATACCTATCACATGCTTGCCTTGCATTGCCAGAGCCTGTTCTTACCTTGGCAACACTTGCCACAATCATGCGTGAGGTTGGAAACGCCTGTCACACGCTTGCCTTGCGTTGCCAGTGCCTTTTCTTACCTTGCCAACACTTGCCACGAGCCGTCCTTTAGTTGCGGACACTTGGGAAGAGCATGCATGATGTTTCCAACGCTTCCGTGGGCCTTGACAACACTTGCCACAATCTTGCGTGAGGTTGAAAACACCTGTGACATGCTTGCCTTGCCATGCCAGAGCCTGTTCTTACCTTGCCAACACTTGCCACGAGCCCCCCTTGGTTGCGGACACTTGGGAAGAGTATGCACAATGTTTCCAGTGCTTCCGTGGGCCTTGACAACACTTATCACAATCTTGCATGAGGTTAAAAACGCCTATGACACGCTTGCCTTGCCTTGCCAGAGCCTATTCTTACCTTGCCAATACTTGCCACGAGCCCGCCCTAGGTTGCCAACACTTAGGAAGAGCATGCACGATGGTGCCAATGCTTCCGTAGGCCTTGACAACACTTGCCACAATCTTGCGTGAGGTTGGAAACGCCTGTCACACGCTTGCCTTGCCTTGCCAGAGCCTGTTCTTACCTTGCAAACACTTACCACGAGCCCACCCTAGGTTTTCAACACTTGGCAAGAGCATGCACGATGCTGCTAATGCTTCCTTGGGCCTTGCCAACGCTTGCGACAATCTTGCGTGAGGTTGGAAAAGCCTGTCATGGACTTGCCTCGTGTTGCCAAAGCTTGTTCTTACCTTGCCAACACTTGCCACGAGCCCGCTCAAGATTGCCAACACTTGGGAAGAGCATTTATGAGGCTGCCAATGCTTCCGTGGGCCTTGCCAATGCTTCCTACAATCTTACGTGAGGTTGAAAATGCCTGTCACATGCTTGCCTTGCGTTTGCAGAGCCTGTTCTTACCTTACCAACACTTGCCACGAGCCCGCCAGGTTGGAAATGCCTGTGACACACTTGCCTTTTGCCAGAGCCTATTCTTACCTTGCCAACACTTCCCACGAGCTTACCCTAGGTTGCCCACACTTGGCAAGAGCATGCACGATGCTGCCAACGCTTCCGTGGGCCTTGTCAACACTTGCCACAATCTTGCGTGAGGTTAGAAAGGCCTGTCACACGCTTGCCTTGCGTTGCCGAGCCTGTTCTTACCATGCCAATACTTGCCACGAGCTCGCCCTAAGTTGCCAACATTTGGGAAGAGCACGCACGATGTTGCCAACGATTTAGTACACCTTGACAACACTTGCCACAATCTTGCGTGAGGTTGGAAATGCTTGTCACACGGTTGCCTTGTGTTGCCAGAGCCTGTTCTTACCTTGCCAATACTTGCCACGAGCCCTACTAAGTTGCCAACACTTAGGAAGCGCATGCACAATACTGCCAACGCTTCCGTGGGCCTTGCCAACACTTGCCAGAATCTTGCGTGAGTTGGAAATGCCTCTCACATGCTTGCCTTGCGTTGCCAGTGCCTATTCTTACCTTGCCAACACTTGCCACGAGCCCTCCCTTAGTTGCCGACACTTGGGAAAAGCATACATGATGGTTCCAATGCTTCTGTGGGCCTTAACAACACTTGCCACAATCTTGCATGAGGTTGGAAACGCCTGTGACATGCTTGCCTTGTGTTGCCAGAGCCTGTTCTTACCTTGCCAACACTTGCCACGAGCTCGCCCACGGTTGCCAACACTCAGCACCAGCATGCACGAGGCTGCCAACGCTTCCGTGGGCCTTGCCAATGCTTCGCACAATCTTGCGTGAGGTTGAAAATGCCAGTCACATGCTTGCCTTGCATTTCCAGAGCTTGTTCTTACCTTGCTAACACTTGCCACGAGCTTGCTAGGTTAGAAACGCCTATGACACGCTTGCGTTTTGCCAGAGCCTGTTCTTACCTTGCCAACACTTTCCACGAGCTCGCCCTAGGTTGCCTACACTTGGCAAGAGCATGCACGATGCTGCCAATGCTTCTGTGGGCCTTGCCAACACTTGCCATAATCTTGCGTGAGGTTGGAAACGCCTGTCACACGTTTTCCTTGCATTGCCAGTGCCTATTCTTACCTGGCCAACACTTGCCATGAGCCCACCTTAGGTTGCCAACACTTGCCACGAGCTCGCCCTAGGTTGCCTACACTTGCCAAGAGCATGCAAGAGGCTGCCAATGCTTCTGTGGGCCTTGCCAACACTTGCCACAATCTTGTGCGAGGTTGAAAACTCCTGTGACATGCTTGCATTGCATTGCCAGAGCCTGTTCTTACCGTGCTAACACTTGTCACGAACCCGCCCTTGGTTGCGAACCCTTAGGAAGAGCATGCACGAGGCTGCCAACGCTACTGTGGGCCTTGCAATCACCTGCCACAATCTAACGTGAGGTTGGAAACGCCTGTGACACGCTTGCATTGCATTGCCAGAGCCTGTTCTTACCGTGCCAACACTTTCCACGAGCCCACCCTAGGTTGCCAACATTTAGGAAGAGCATGCACGATGGTGCCAATGCTTCCGTAGGCCTTAACAATACTTGCCACAATCTTGCATGAGGCTAAAAATGCCTGTGACATGCTTGCCTTGCATTGCCAGAGCCTATTCTTACCATTCCAACACTTACCACGAGCCCGCCCTACGTTGCCAACACTTGCAAGAGCATGCACGATGCTGCCATTGCTTCCGTGAACCTTAACAACATTTGCTACAATCTTGTGTGAGGTTGAAAACGCCTGTCACATGCTTGCCTTACGTTGCTAGAGCCTGTTCTTACCATGCCAACACTTGCCACAGGCCCGCTGATGAAACCTTAAGTCGCTTTAGGCCATCAATGAAAATTAGAATGTAGTCGGGAGCATTCTAAGTCATCTCCCAAGAGAGCAATGCATAAAATTATGGTTCAATTGTCAACAAATTAAGGGAATGAAGATATGTTTCAGCTATGTCTAGAATACAAGAACTAAATGTTTGTAATTTTCTGATTTAAATGTATTGATGTGAATGAATGAGATGATGAGCTCAAATTAGAATCCCTTGTGATATATCCTTGAATTCCAGAATTGCAACCATAAATGTAATGACAATTAGCTTAATGAAAAACACTCTAAAACCTTTAAAGTGTTATGAAATATTGCATCCAATGATCATTATGAATTTAAGCCAAGTGGAGTGAAATTGACAATGTAAATAAGCCTTGTTCATAGCCATTCAATTTAGACCAAATTAAATGGTAGAAAAACTTCTCAAACCATATTCATATAAACACATATGGATCTAGCTTGAAATATGGAGAAATCTGAACAAGAATATCAAGAACATATGAACACATTCAAGAACACTCAATTGAATTCACACATTCCAGAACTAAAATACAAAATCAAATATCAATCCAACATCCACAACTTCAATCTAACATATAATTGGAATCAAAATCACAATCCAACCTGAACAATAATTTCGAATCCTTGAAAGAAAATAGAAGAAATTGCACAATTGAAATTACAAATAAGGAAGGCAATTCTGAAATACTAAAATCACAAGTTCATCTTCCTTGAATCTCAATGAAAAATCAGCCTCTCATGTTCTTCATCTTCAAACCAATCAGACTTTGAACTTGAGAAGACATCTTGAATCTGGAAAATATGTGACTAAATATGGACGAAATTAATGCTGGAATTGGAAAAATGAGAAACGAAATTGATGAAAGAATGGGGAAGAGAATGACACAAGGTGGAAGAATCAAAGAGGAGAGATAAGAAACAAGTCTGGACAGAGGAAGAACATGAACGAAAATTGAAGAAAAAAAATGATGAAGGAAATGAAGGAACAAATCTGGAATGATGGAATTGATAATGAACACTTGATGAACAATCTGGATTAAGGATGGAAGAAAAATGAAATTGGATGGGGAATTAATGCTGGAAAAACGAACTTGGAGCTGGAAATGGAGGAGAACCAGATCTGGAACTCCCAATACTTGAGGAATTGCGTGAATTGTAGAGGCTGAAAATGAGAGAAATCAGACCTAGAGAGAGAGGATGGATGTGTAGAATGAAGTCTCCCTCTGAAAATTTGGCTTAAGTATGAGTAACTAATTCTGATCCAATGGTGATGATTCCAAGGCCAAAAACTAAATCAGTTATTCCAGTTGGAAATAATGAATTAAAATTGAAAATTAATTCTAAAAATTAGAGGAAATGAGGCGCCAAAATGAGCTGGAGATGAGAGCATGAACAATGTGACTAAGCATGGACTATGTGACTTCATTTGAATGTTGCTTCAGCTGCCACGTGAACTTCTCATGAATCCAGATGTGAATTCACGCCTATTATGCTCTTGGCTTGCCTCATCATGATGTCATCCTAATGTTCAGCTTCCACTTCACGCACAACATGCATTTCCTTGTTTCCAATAATGATGTCATCTTATGAATTCCATGGATCAGATTACATGTGCTCTTGACTTCTCTAAAATTGTTGACCAAATCTTTGCTCCTTGATTATAAAATTGCCCTCACATGAATCTGAAAATAAAAACACAAGACTAAATAAATTTTAAAAAGACAATTAAAAGGGAAGAAAGTGAGAATTTAAACCAAAAAATCCAATCAAACATCTTAAAGTCTCAAACCATCCACCAAATAGCTTTATTAGGGTCTATGTAGTCAATGTGTGAAACATAGCTAAAAATCGGGAAACAAACCCTAATATGTACTATTTTGTGCCAAAACCCAAGTGCATAACATGTAAAATATGAAGTAGATCACCCGCCCTAAGTTGCCAACACTTGCAAGAGCAAGCACGATGGTGCCATCGCTTCCGTGGGCCTTGACAACACTTGTCACAATCTTGGGTGAGATTGAAAACGCCTGTCACACGCTTACCTTGCGTTGCCAAAGCCTGTTCTTACCTTGACAACACTTGCCACAATCTTGCGTGAGGTTGGAAATGCCTATCACACGCTTGCCTTGCATTGTCAGTGCCTGTTTTTACCTTGCCAACACTTGCCACAAGCCCGCCCAAGGTTGCCAACACTTGGCAAGAGCATGCACCATGCTGCCAACGCTTCCGTGGGCCTTGCCAACACTTGCCACCATCTTGTGTGAGGTTGGAAATGACTGTCACATGCTTTTCCAGCATGGCCAGAGCTTGCTCTTACCTTGCCAATGCTTGCCACGAGCCCGCCCTGGTTGCCAATACTTGGCAAGAGGATGCACGATGCTGCCAACGCTTTCGTAAGCCTTGCCAACACTTGCCACAATCTTACATAATGTTGCAAACGCCTGTCACATGCTTGCCTTACGTTGCCAGTGCTTGTTCTTACCTTGCTAACACTTTCCACGAGCCCGCCCTAGGGTTGCTAACACTTGGCAAGAGCATGCACGATGCTGCCAACACTTCCATGAGCCTTGCCAATACTTACCACAATCTTGTGTGACATTGGAAATGCCTTTGACATGCTTGCCTTGTGTTGTCAGAACCTGTTCTTACCAACACTTGCCACGAGCTCGCCCTAGGTTGCCAACACTTGCCAAGAGCATGCACGATGGTGCCAATACTTCCGTTGGCCTTGACAACACTTGCCACAATCTTGCGTGAGGTTGGAAATGCCTGTGACTCGCTTGCCTTGCATTTCCAAAGCCTGTTCTTACCTTGCAAACACTTGCCATGAGCCCGCCCTAGGTTGCCAACACTTGGCAAGAGCATGCACGAGGCTGCCAACGCTTCCATAGGGCTTGCCAACACTTGGCAAGAGCATGCACGAGGCTGCCAATGCTTCCGTGGGGCTTGCCAACACTTGCCACCATCTTGTGTGAGGTTGGAAATGCCTGCCACATGCTTGCCTTGCGTTGCCAAAGCTTCTTCTTACCTTGCCAACACTTGCCACGAGCCCGCCCTAGGTTGCTAACACTCAGCACCAGCATGCACGAGGTTGCCAACGCTTTCGTGGGCCTTGCCAAGACCTGCCACAATCTTGTGTGAGGTTGGAAACGCCTATCCCATGCTTGCCTTGCATTGCTAGAGCCTATTCTTACCTTGCCAACACTTGCCACGAGCCCACCCTTGGTTACCAACACTTGGGAAGAGCATGCACGATAGTGCCAATACTTTTGTGGGCCTTGACAACACTTGCCACAATCTTGCGTGAGGTTGGAAACGCCTGTCCCATGCTTGCCTTGTGTTGCCAGAGCCTTTTCTTACCTTGCCAACACTTGCCACGAGCTCGCCTTAGGTTGCCAACACTTAGCAAGAACATGCACGATACTACCAATGCTTCAGTAGGCCTTCCCAACACTTGCCACAATCTTAGGTGAGGTTGGAAATGCCTGTCACACGCTTGCCTTGCATTGCTAGAGCCTGTTCTTACCTTGCCAACACTTGCCACGAGCCCACCCTCAGTTGCCAACACTTGGCAAGAGCATGCATGAGGCTGCCAAGGCTTCCGTGGGCCTTGCAATCACTTGCCACAGTCTTGCGTGATGTTGGAAACACTTGTGACATGCTTGCCTTATGTTGTCAGAGCCTATTCGTACCAATACTTGCCATGAGCCCGCCTTAGGTTGCCGTCACGTGGCAAGAGCATGCATGATGCTGCCAATGCCTCCGTGGGCCTTGCAATCACTTGCCACAATCTTGCATGAGACTGGAAACACTTGTGACATGCTTGCCTTGTGTTGCCAGAGCCTGTTCTTACCTTGCCAACACTTTCCATGAGCCCGGCAACACTTGGCAAGAGCATGCACGATGCTGCCAATGCTTCCGTGGGCCTTGCCAACACTTGCCATAATCTTGCATGAGGTTGGAAACGCCTATCACACGCTTGCCTTGCATTGCTAGAGCCTGTTCTTACCTTGCCAACACGTGGCAGAAGCCTGCCCTAAGTTGCCAAGACTCGGCACCAGCATGCATGAGGCTGCCAATGCTTCCGTGCACGTTCCAATCACTTGCCACAATCTTGCATGAGGTTGGAAACGCTTGTCACATGCATGCCTTGCATTTCCAGAGCCTGTTCATACCTTGCTAACACTTCCCATGAGCCCACTCTAGGTTGCCAACACTTGGCAAGAACATGCACGATGCTACCAACGCTTCCGTGGGCCTTGCCAACACTTTCCACAGTCTTGCATGAGGTTGGGAATGCAAAGTTAGCCCTGTTTGCTTGGAGTGTCACTTAATAAAGGCTATGATCAACATAAGAGTTTTTCAAGCTATGAAATATGTTAAATTCAATCTTGCTGTCCAAAAACTCCATGGTAAGTTTACCTTCCTTCATGTTCAATATAGCACATGATGTCATCATAAAAGGTCTCCCAAGAATAAGTGTGCCCTGGCCTCCTACAACACATAAAAATCTGCTGGAAAAACTAAGTCCTTAACATTTACTAAGATGTCTTCCAAGAATCCCTTGGGTCAATCAAGGCACTACAATCTTAAAGACCACCAAGATTAAGGGAAGAATAAATGTGAGTAGGCATCACATTGATGGCTACCCCTAGGTCAATCAAGGCTTCTTGAGCAAACACATTCCCTATTTGACAAGGAATGGTACATGCCCTTGGATCTCTACACTTAACAGGGAGTTATGGCTTGAAGACATCACTAACATTAGGACTCATTTCAACTATAACCAATGGTTTGAATCCCCTTTTATTAGTGCACAACTCTTTCAAAAACTTTGCACACTTAGGCATGCCTTTTTTCATTTCAAGAAGTAGTATGTTCACTTCCACCTTCTTCAACATATCAAACACATCATGCCTATCTCCTTCTTGCCCTTTCTTAGCAAATCTAGTCAAGGCCTTAGGGAATGGCATATCTCTTGGAATAGGGTCCCCAATTTGATATTCTTTTGGAGGCTCTCTTCTTCCCAACACCTCTTTCTCCTTAGGCTTGCTTGGATCATTCTCATTGGCCTTAGAAGATGGATGAACCGTGGCTATTCTAGCACTGACTTGGCCTTGATTTGAGCTCAATTTCACCTCTTTTTCTTGAGCATTCAGGGCTGATCTTGCCCCATTTGCATCCTCAACTACAATGTCTTCAACAGAGTCATTCTCATCATTAATCACTTGAGGACTTAGAGAAGTAGGAGGCATGTTCTTGAGGCTATGTGAGGCACTTGGATGCACATTTAGCTTGCTGTCACAGCAAGTGGAATCACGTGAATCAGCAAGAGAAAGTGGATTTCCTTCACAAATTTGAGAATTTCTTGAAATAACCTCATTATGCTTGCTGCTATCATGGTTTGAGGCACTTGGAATGGCTTCAAGAACTCTTTCACCTTTCAACTCAATTGCACTAAGGCTCTTTGGATTGATGACAGGTTGAGTTGGGAGCTTTCCACTTCCTTGAGCTTGACTAATGCTATTTGAATTCTTAAATTGTTACACCACCAAATCAGTACTTTGTTGCTTTGATTCAAGATTGTCTAGCCTATTAAGCATCATGTCCATTTTTGATTCTGCCCTAGACATATGAGAATCAAACTTTTGGTGCATAGAAAACATAGCATCACCCATCCTCTCAAGGTAGGAGTACATTTGTTTATCACCCCTACCATCTTGAATAGGGATCACTTGAGAATTCTTAGCTTGCACAACCTTTTGGTTACCCTTGTAGCTAAAGTTAGGGTGCTGCCTCCAAGTAGGGTTATAGGTGCTCTCATAGTTAGCCTCAAAATTGTTCCTTGCCCCTTGATTATGTTGATAATTGTAGGGCCTTTATTGTTGATACATAGCCCCAACATCTTGAGCATGCATGCAATTAGAGGTGATATGCATTGTGTAATTGCGTATACCATAAATAGGAGCCACTAGAGCATTGGACATAGAAGCAATATGAGCTTGTGGAGGATTGGAAATAGACATCTTGAGAAAATCCAATTGAGAGTAGATATCCTCCAATTGGGAATTAGCAATAGAAGATTGGCCCACTTGGTGAACACCCCTTGCATCTCTTGAGCTATATTATTGGTTACTATTTTTGCAAGCTTTTTCAACAAGGTTCATGCATCATCCGATGGAAGATCTAATAGAGAGCCATTTGCAGCAGCATCTATGGTCTCTTAATCATGAATTTGCAACCCTACATGGAAATAATCAATGAGGAACTCTTTGCCCACATTTAGGTATGGACACTTTGCAAGCAATTCAAAAAACCTCATCCAATACTCATAAAGAGATTCTTGTGGGTGTTATTGAATCCCCATGATTTGCTTCCTTAGTTAAGAATACTTGGTTGGTGGAAAATATTTCTCAAGAAAGCAATTTTGCATCTCCACCCAAGAATTGATAGTCCTTGCGGCAAGAGTATTGAACCATGTGATTGCTTTGTCCTCAAGAATAAAATAGAAGACCTTGAGCATCAAATTCTCCAACTTTGCTGTGGGAGGCTTCATGGTTGAACAAACCCTCTCAAGTATTTGGAGAGGCCTATTAGGATCCTCACCTGCAAGGCCATGGAATTTTGGCAAAGCATTAATCAATGAAGGTTTGATTTCATACTCATTTTGTTCTTATAAATTCAAAAACAAGCCACTAGGTCTAAATGTGTCAGTGGGTGCTACCATCTCTCTAATACTCCTCCTAGCAAGTATTTCATGTTCATTACCATGCAATCTATCAGCCATACTGTCCAAAATCATAGAATTATCAACTATGATGTTTGGAAGAGAGAAAGATGCTAAGAACTCTAAGTATTGATCTCTAAATTTAATATAATTTTCACCAAGTTCTTTGCAAGTCCTACAAGACATATAAAGCTCAAAACACCACATAAATAGCCCTGGACCAAAGAAAAATCAAAAATTCAAAAGTAGGCCAAAATTTTGAAAACTGGCAAAATTGAAATACACTGAGGCAATATTTTTGTAAAAATTTTTCGAATGTGAAAAAGATAAAATTAGCAAAAACTCAAAACTAAAAATTTAAAGCTAAAACACTAAATTAAATTCAGGAATTTTTATAGACAAAATTTCCAAATAGGGAGAGAGTGATCATAGTTAGCCCTGCCTGCCTGGAGTGTCACTGGGAGTCAGCAGTGGACCTTATGTGCTTATTCAGTGCAGAACTCTCTGATCCTGAATCAAATTGAGCTGAAATTTTTACTTGAACCTTTCAACATATAGAAGGTTATATAGTCTAATTTTAAAGCAAATATTCATAGTCAATTCTTCCTAGTATTTTTTCAAATTAAGGTCTTCAGCACTGAAAATTCTAGTGAACCCTGTTTCAGTCAAGCAAAAATTCAACCAACTTAATGGCCAAATGAGCATTATGTTCAATAAAAACAATGTTTCTAAGTAACCAAGAACACAATCAAACAAGAATCAGCTCAAAATGATATGTCTAGCAAAAAATATACCTGTCCAAAATTCGTGCAAAATTGCTGGGCGGAGTAACCTTCACTGTCTTACAAGCACTTGAGCTATACTTGTCAGTTTTGGAACTCACGTCTAGAATCAATATTATGGTGACTATATCCAGTAGCAAACAGACCAAACAAGTGATCAAATGCTTAGAAAACACAAGTTAGCCACCACAATACAAATTCCAGAATTAAGCCAAAATGCAAAGCAAATTAAAAAAGCACTGAAACCACAATTAGTATGGCTAATTCCTCCCCAGCAACGGCACCAATTGATGAACCCTTTAGTCGCCTTAGGTTATTAAATTTTACTAGAATGTAGAAGTGAGTATTCTAGGTCATTTTCCTAGAGAGCAAAGCATACAAATCATTGTTCAAATGCCACAAATTAATCTAAATTTTCAAGTGACTAAACCAACTCTATAATGCAACAATAAATGTTTGTAAAATTTTGTTTTAGTTGTAATGAAATGAATGATGATTATGGTGAGCCCACTTCAGATTTCCTAACATTAATCATTGATTTCCAGAATTATAACATCATAAACCTTCTTGATTAACCTAAAATAGACACTTAGAAACCTCTAAGTGTGGTGCACCATTAGACTCAGTGGACACTAATGAATCTAGGTCAAGTGAACTTAAAAATTAACACTATATTCAGCCTTGTTCTACACAAGTTTCAGATCAAAACTAGTGGAAGAAAAATAGCTTAAGTCAAATTCATATAACCAATATAGATCTAACTCAAGTCTACACAAGAACTTATGAAATAACCCTAGAACATCAAGGTAAATCATAAATTCCAGAACTAAAAATAACATAAAAATCTAAATTCAACATTCATATTCTCATCAAATCTGAATTAGAATCACAAATTCCTTTAACTAAATATAGGTTCAGAATTGAATCCTCAAAGAATCAAAATAAGAACATGAATGAAATCAAGAAAATAAACAACAATTACAAAAATTGGAAATCTCATAATGTCAAGTCATCTTTCTTGGAGCTCTAAATGATTAGCCTCTCATGCTCTTCCTCTTCACTTAAACTAGACCTTGAGAAGCCTCCATAAATGTATGAAGATGAAGATGAAACCTAGAGATAAATGTGTACTGGACGAAATCTAGAGGAGAAGAAGAAAATGGATGAAAATTTGGAGGAGAATGAAGGAAGAATTCAACGTGAATGAAGGAAAAAGGAGAAGAAATGATCTGGATAGTGAGAGGATGAGAAGATGGCGTGATCTGGACAAGAAGATGAGAGAACTGAATCTGAAAAATTGGAGAGTAAATATGAACGAAAATTGAGAGAGAATATGGCTGAAGTGAGAGAGTGGGATCTGAATTATGAGGCTCCCATCTGAAAATTCAGCTTATGTATGTGTGGAAAATATGAGTGGTGATAAAACCAAAGTCGATGGTGATAAATAAAAACAAGGAAGGTCCAGATCTGAAATGAGCTGGAAAAATAGACGAAAATAAGCTAAAATGAAAATAAAAATAAGGTGAAAAATGTGGCAATGGACATGTGAACATGTATGGAAAATGTGACTCCTCCTTAGGCTCCCAATCAGCTGTCACATGTCCTCCCATTAGATCTGATCATGTCACACCTCCCATGCCTCTTCTTCACTTGATGGTGTGTCCCTTAATGCTTCCCATGCTCCTTTAATTTTTTTATTTAATTAATTCTTCCTAATTAAATTTGAATAATGGTCCTACATCATCCCTCAAATAATTCTGGAATTTGTGCCCAACAGCCCCTAAATTCTTCATCTTTATTTATTTTCTATCTCTTGAATTTCTCCAAGCATGTTGACTAGCCCTTGATCCTTGATTCCAAAATTGCCCTCACAAAATTTGAAAATAAAAACACAAGACTATTTAAATTCTAAACAAAAAGAAATAAAAAGGAAGAGAAGAGAATTAATGCCTAAGATCTCAAATTAGGATATGAAAGTGTCAAAACAATCATCAAATAGAATTATTAGGGTTCATAAAGTCAATATAGAAATGATAACTCAAAACCAGGAATTAAACCCTATTATGCACAATTTGATGTTAAAAACCAAGTGTTTTAACATGTAAAATATGAGATAGATCAATTCCCCCACACTTGAATTTTGCTCTCTAGGCAAAACTCTTTAAAAACCTAGAAAAGAAAAAAAAAACACACAAAGATGCAAGCTTTCAAGAGTAAATCCAAATTTCAAAGTGAATGCACTCAAATAAGAACTAAAATCAATGTTGCAATCTTTAGAGAAAACCTTAATACATCACAAGTAAACCATTTGCAAGAATGTAATCTTAAAGAGATATCTTACTGGATTAATGTTTCACTCAAGCACTCGGTATATAAGGGTACAAAATATCACTCAAGTTCCTTGACAAGTCATCCTACCATAGGCTTATAATCCCTCTATCTCTCCACTATTGAGATGCAATAGTTCTTAAGAATCATATGGACTTTCACAAGGATGTAATGTGCTCAATGAAAGGTAAACTTAGATTTGCATGTGAAAGGGTAGGGCTTGGCTCAAGAAACTTGTCTTGACCACAATGTAGGTATGCTCAATTTATAAGACTACTCAAAATTAAATTAAATAGATAACATAATAGGAATCATGGATGAAATGAATAATTGGCCAAGAATGGGATGAAATGATAGAGATAATAGAGATGACATGTGAATCTATAGGTAGGAACAAGTGATTCCAATAACAAGCCTAAGGAAGGTTGCTTATTCAAACTCTTTCTTTTACTTTTCTTTGATCTACTTTGGATTTCTTTTTCTCAAACATATTTTTTTCTTTCTACAATATTTTTTCATCTTTTCTGTCACTTCTTTCTTTCTTTTTCTCCTGCCTAAACCTTGCTATTCTATTTTTTTATGTTATTTTTTTTCTTTTTTTTTTTCCTTCTCAAGGCATAGCTTCCAATACTTGGATACAACTCAAAAAATGTTTCAATCATAAAAATGAAATGGTATGGCTAATATGAATGAATGAAATGGATCCCACTAGATGTTATCTACTAGTTTAATTAAAAATAGTCAATGCACATTGAAACATACTAAATGAGAATACATGCAATATATCCAAAATAGAGCCAAGTATTTAAAAATGCCAAAACAAAGAAAGGCTCTCTTTGGCTAAACAAGGGATAATCAAGTAATCAAAGGTTAGCTAAAAGGCCTTGGGCACTTTAATGATGGCCATAATCACTTTCCCTACAACCAATGCACAAGTGTAGCCTGGAGCTTTTAACATGGCTAAGTCCTGGCAAGAATGGGCGGATGAAACAAGATCATTCCTTGTAAAAGCTGCTAAGAAGATGAAGAAGTTTGCTGACAAACGAAGGCGTGCAATAGAATTCCAAGTTAGGGACATAGTAATGGTGAAACTTCTCCCACAACAATTCAAAGCCTTCAGATCAGTGCATAAAGGCTTCATTCGTAAATATGAAGGTCCTTATAAGGTAATCAAGAAGGTAGGGAAAGTCTCATATAAGTTGGATCTCCCTACTAATTTAAAGATTCATCCTGTCTTCCATGTTAGCATGTTGAAACCTTATCATGAAGATCAGGATGACCCGACGCGAGGAACATCATCACGTGCCCCACCGACCATCACTAAGGCATATGATCGAGGAGTTGAAGAGATACTTAGTCACCGAGTTGTGTGGAAAAGAGGTGTGCCACTAGACACACAATACTTGATCAAGTGGAAGGGATTGCCAGAGAGTGAAGCAACATGGGAATCTCAAAGAAATCTTTGGCAATTTGAAGAACTACTTCGATCTTATAAAGATGATGCCGTGACGAGGACGTCACTAAAATAGGTGGGGGAGAATGTGACAAAGATAGAATTTTCATGAGGTTAAGATATTCTAGAAGTTTCCGGAACGATTCAGGATAATCAAGAAGGCCCCGGAGTCTTCTGGAATACGCCGGTATGACCTCGAAAGACCTAGATATCTCTAGAGTAATGTAGAAAGCACTTGAAGCATCTAAATCATTCTAGGGATATCTTGCTCTTGTACATTCTAGTAGTCTCCTTGTAAATATCAAGATATTCCTTGTAGATATTTCTATAGAATTATCTAGACATAGAATGTACACCGTTAGATCGAATCAATCCCAACCGTCCATTAAACTCATCAATGCCACAACCAAGGGAAAAATCAAAATCCAACAAAGACTTAAACTCATCATCATCAAGTGTGATGCCTAATGGCGTATGGTCTTCATCCAATGGTGTTGCAAAAGTCACTATACTATGTTCTTCTTCTTTCTTTGGCTCTTCAACACCTGAAACTATAAAAGAAGAACTCTTCTCCAAGGATGGAGAAGGGTTAGGCACACTTGAACAAAATGTATCAACAATTCCAGAATTAATTAAATTATCAGAAGTCAAGTCATGTGGAGGCATGTCACATGAAAGAGATGAACTAGAGCCATAATAATGTACCAACATACAACCATCACTTGACTCAATCAATGATGCATAAGAAATTCCAAAATCAATTCTCAATTTGCTAGATTCATCTAAAACAAGTAAATTACTCAAAAAAGCAAAAGTATGTTCATAGGAAGAAGTAGACATAACATATGCTTCAAATGGAGTGATATAGGAGGATAAATCATGCATATCAATCATGTTTTCATGCTCATGTGAATGCAAACTATCATGCTTTTCTCAACTAGACAGATTTGAAGCAACATCTTTGCAATTCACACAAGTAAAATCATGGGTAAATGAACATGTAGAACTAGGCAAGGAATCATCATCATCCAAAAACACTTGGGTTTAGATATATTCCTAAGATTAGTAATAGGAGGCATGACATAAGGAACATGAGGAAGACTTGGCCTCTCTTGAGGAGGTTGAATCACATCAAGGTTGAATCATCCAAGTGTTGGCAGCATCGTGCATGCTCTTACCAACAGTTGGTAACCTAGGGTGAGCTCGTGGCAAGTGTTGGCAATGTAAGAACAGGCTCTGGGAATGCAAGGCAAGCGTGTGACAGGCATTTCCAACCTCATGTAAGATTGTGGCAAGTGTTGGCAAGGCCTACGGAAGCATTGGCAGCATCGTGCATGCTCTTG